GGCTCCCAGGGGGAGATCCCCAACTAGGAGGGACAAAGCCAAGGCCCCCAAGAAAGTAGCCCCTAGGAAGGAGGCTAGAATGACCAGGGGCTCGACCAGAAGATTCAGGGCTACCATCAGCCCTTCCCCCTCCAGGTCCCGATCTCCCCACAGTCCTGGATGAAGCCCGGGCAGCATCCCCTGGTTCCCCAAGGGGCTCAGGTAGAGGGCACAGCTCCCTATCACCCTCCCATCGCCTGCACGCCAAGCGGAGGCGAGGGCTGATCCATTTGGGCGCAGGGCTCCCAGTCCAGCGAGGCATCGGTTGGCTCCTCTATCTCCTGACCCCAGGGAATATCCTCAGCCACCAGAGCTCCAGTCTGCCTTACCTGAGCTCACCCATAGTTTTCAGGATATGCTAGCTAGGGCCTTAGCTCAAGTGATGGCCTCTGGGATAAGCCAGCAGCCTCAGAGCTCCAGGAGCAGAGGCCCCCAGGAGCATTCCAGGGCCCCCCAGGATCGCCCCAGTACATCGGCTGCCAGAGGGGCCAGTTCTCCCTCCCCCTCTACTGCAAGTGAGGCTTCCGATTTAGAAGAGGGAGAGTTAAAGGAAGTGGGGTTCTCTGAGGATGAGGAACCCTAGGCAGAGGACGACTCCACCGTCGCTGGCATTTTTCCCCTTCCTTGTTTAGCTCCTTGCTCCGCAAGGCAAATGCCACAGCAGATCTGGACCCCCCCACAGATCCTAAGCCTGTGTCTGAAACGCCTAGCACTAGCAAGGGCAAGAAGAAGGGGCCCTTCCATAGACCACCCGTGGCTAAGGAGGAGATCCCCACGCCAGAGATGTTTCTAGAGGTGCTCAAATCCCAGTGGGTGAAGCCAGGGTCCTTTCCCACTCCAGGGGGAAAGGGGAGGAAATTTTATAACCTTAACCCGACCTTTGCTCAAGCTCTCCAGGTTCCTGAGGTGGACAAGCCAATTGCCACCCTAGCCTTAGTGTCAGCAGTGATCACAGGCGACATCGCCAGCTGCCTCAAGGCAGAGAATAACAAGGTAGACATCGTGCTGCGCAAGACGTTCCAGGCCATAACATGGGCCATTAGGGCGGCTGCTTCGGCTTCTTTCTTTAACAGGTCGATGGTGCTGTGGTTGGAGCAGCTGAGGGACAGGCCTCAGAGGTTCGCTTGTTGCAGGACATCTCCAAGATCCTGGCAGCCACGCAGTTCTCGGCGGACACCACACTGGACGCAGTTAAGTATGTGTCTTGGACAATGTCATCCTCAATGGCGTCTAGGCGCCTGTTGTGGTTACACCATTGGCAGGCAGAGTCCCGGATGAAGTGGCACCTAACAGGAGCAGACTACACCGGTGATAAGCTGTTTGGTACTGCGCTGGATCCTATCCTGGTGGAGGATAAGAACAAGCGAAAGGTCTTCCCAGCAACTACCAGACGCTCAGACTTCCAGCATGCACCATATCCCAGGAGATCCTCGTACAGGTCGTCTGACGTGGAGACCCAGAACCAGAGGTACCAGAACCCCAGGTCCCACAGGGAGGGGGATAGGCAGTTCCATAGGGACAGGTTCAGAGACCAGCAGCAGGGCAAGTGGCCCTTTCGAGAAGGAGGCAGCCGGCCCTTCCGCAGGTTCAAATGATCCGTCCATGGATCACCCTATTGGCGGTCGCCTCTCCCTTTTCGCGAATGCCTGGGAACAAGTCACCTCGCATGAGTGGGTCCTTCAGACTGTAAGTCTCGGGCTGCAGTTGGAGTTTCACTCACTCCCCCCTAGTAGGTTCCGCACCTTCACCTCCTCCACAGATCCGGCCAAGCGGGCCCTGAAGGCCAAGGCCATCAAACACCTGTT